ATGGAACAACTCATCTGCTGACAGTGTGGGGGCATTGCCAGTATTAAAAGTAAATGCCAAAGGGGTATTCCCAGAAAAATACTGACCAAGACTGAAAAACTACTAGAAGAAACGGATAAGGAGACAACAGTTTCATCACTCTTACCCCCTCGTTACATACTTAGCATGTTGGATAACGCCAGGTATAACAGTCTGCAAGCCAAGGGACGAATAGGAGTCAACCATGTCATGTGACTACTGATACAAAAGCATCCATGATAATCACCAGGCAGGACATTGCAGCAGGACTGGCAGAGAGAAACCCACACATGAAGTGCGCCCAGCAAACGACATTGTGAGAGAACCTCACCATCTTGTAGGTGTTACTGATGCCAGCTCTGGGGTGCCGGCCACTAACAGCTTGAGAATTTGTTGTCAGTATCACCAATAAGTTCATCCTGCCCCTCGATGTTATGCATGCCCATGATGCATCCTTGGACTTCAGGTGCCATGTGATATGACTGGGCAATGAGGAACTGCCACTGTGCCATGACTGCGTTCAACCCCTTGTATGAACAGCAAAAGTGATGTAACGTTGGTTTCTAAAAGACTAGAAGCAAAGAGCGACTGTACTGGCAAGGGCCAGCAGGAAAATTCCAGGTTCAAGAAATACATATGACTTATTCAGTGCAGGTTACAGAGGCAAAAGATCTATCGAGTGAGTTCCTCTTGTTTTAAGGCTATGTTAGTAGCCATTTTTCCATATTTCATCAACAGTTAATATCCTTGTTTACTAATTTTTAGAATGTCTGTACATTAAACTTCTTCTGGATTAATTTTAACAGCTTGTATTCAATATAATATGAAGTGTAGTATATAAACATGCTGTTGTTATATACAGGTATTTAAACAAATCCATAATGAAGATGTTGACATATGTAGTAATAATTAATAGCCCATTACAATAGCAAGGGACCTTAACACTCGATGGGCTTTGGTAATACAGAAAGTACTGTGTTAATAATGAATTCTGATTGCAATAAATAAAACATAATGTTACACGATGCCTGAAGACTGGAATGGAGGAGCTAGAGGAGACATCCACTGCTAGACAATGGCACGGTTAATATGCCCTCTTGGCAACATATGTACACAGTAACAGAGGAACTATTGGAGGTGATGTTTGCTGTGCAGTCTGTACCAAGGCTATATAATGAAGACCTGGGCCTGCAGCAGTGAGATTACAGTTGCATGACTCCCAGAATTGAGACAGTACCCTATGGTCATGAGTCCTGAGGGACTTGGAACCACAAATGACTGTGCTGATGAGGGAAGCAGCAATTTACCTGACCCAACTCGACACAAGTTAGTTGGAGAAGTGAGCTGAAGGCTCCCAGAGCCATCAGGCAGTAAAGTGTGGTCATCAGTAACTTAGCAGTTAGTTAGTCAGTCAGTCAGTCAGTCAGTCAGTCATAAATCAGTTGAGAGTCAACAGTTAAACTAGTCAGTTGTGAGGCAGTTGCCAGTTGGTAAGGGCATAAGCAGGGGACATGCTGGGATCTGTTACCAAGCAATGGTTAGTGAAGACAGACAACTTAGCAAGTTCTGTAGTGAGAAGCACTATAATTATTTGTACTTATAAGTATCTAATAAATCAAATTAACAATCCAAACCGTGTGTCTAGTCACTAACATGTGACAATACTATGCCTACTTGCATAATAACCATTCCTTCTTTAATAAGAGCATGAAATTATGACAGAGGATATTAAGACTGGGAACAAAAACTGAACTAGGCAGTCAACCTATTTATATTGCAAATACCAGTAATACTATGTTCAACTCAATAATACATGTACTAAGGAAATTTAATTTTGAAAAATATGTTAACAGTAAAGGAAGATTCATCTCTGAGCTTGGACAGGTATGGACTATGCCTGGGAGCTTTTGCTGACACCAAGTTAACTTATACAAGACTTCCTTTTTTACATAATTTCAGGTGAAAAATGTAATAAAACAATGGAAGTGGAATTAAATATCAATCATAAGTGGACATGACATACATCATAAAGAATTAATACTATACTATGAAACAGACCAGTGGGTGCCAGAGAGAACTACAGATAACACCAATATCAGCTCCTCATATTCAGATACTGAAACAGAACATATGGGTATGGCCACATGTAGATTCAGTAATGACAATACAATTTATAATGATACTGTTCTTATTTTCAACAATACTGTCATAGTCCATGGGTGAATATTTTACAGTTTATGGTAATGCACACAAACTACATTCATTTTATATTCATAAACCTTACTACTACCACCATTTCTTACTCTAAAATATCAGCATGTAATTTCTATTGCAATTATATGTTTATCTCTTGCATTTGTTTACTGACTGGCTCTGAACCTTGGCATACTCTTTATGATATTTCAGGTTTCTATCTGTCCCCAGTTCAATCTAGGAAAAATGACAAAAGATACAGGGATAGAAAGAATTTGGTAAGGCATTAAGTATAGAGGATACAACATACATACATCAGAATCATAAGAAAACATTTTCTAAAACATGCTTTGTACATGCAGACGGTCGTTTCCTAAATTTATATTACTCAATTCAACACTAAAATACATCAGCCAATTCCTGTAATGTGCAATCACAATTTGGGATTATTGAGTTTTGTTCATCTAGCATTCTGAAAGAATATACATGTGTGATACAGTGATACATAGCTCCCCTACTGTAAACGTGTAGACTACTGAAGACAGAGTGAACTGATTTGCGCATAGGGTTATAAATCGTGAAACCCCGCAACAGTGTTAACAGATTAATGCGATTAGGGTTATAAAGTGTGAAACCCCGCAACTGTGTGATAAGTAATTGTAGCCGTTATTTGTAGATTGTTAAATAAACCAATTAACCATCTCTACGGCGTCTTC